TGAAAATCCCTTAAAACAAATTCAATCGACTAGATAAAATATATCTTATAAAATCTCGCGTAATAATTAAAAATAATTAAAAATCTGTTTATGTATGAGCATGCGAGCACGCGGTATGTATTTGTATGAATGTATATTTCACAATCGCTATACAACATAATAACAATAGATTATGGTGTATCATATTACGTCGTCAAATATTAAGTTCAAGATATTATAAGATGGTAAGTTCAAGATATAAGATGGTATAAATATTTGGGAATTTTATCATTTTTTAATTATAACAACAAGTAATAAGCGAAAAATTTAAAAAGAACTACAGGGCAGTGCAATTATAAATATTACTGAGAAATACAAAGATTTAGAAAAATGGAAGATAGTAAAACACACACAAGAAAAATAATTAATTAGGTTTCTTTTGCTCCGATTTTTGACATATGAATGTTAAATATAAAAAAAATAGAAGATTCCGAAGAAAAATAGCATGCCTTCTTTTGTTAGTTTTGAACTAATATTACTTCCATGTTTTTAAGATTGTTATTTCTCGACGAATTCTTATACCAAAGTTAGGTGTCCCTCGTATTAGACTTAATTATTTTATGAACATGTAGCAGAGCTGTCGCTGTATAATTAACGCGACGTCGATAACGAAACAGAAAACGCACAAACGAAAGCCCCGTACTTATTTGTTGTCAATCAGCTCTTCACGTAAGTCTCTTTTCAATCGCGTAACTTCAATCGATCGCCTTTCAATCAACGGTCGCTGTCGGTTCAAACCATTCGCCATAAGTAACTTTCTGGCATCCTTCATAATACAATTTTAATTGAAATTTCTAGAGAGATCGCTTATGTTTTTAAAAATTATATAGAAAGAGGTGAGATGTTTTGCATTATCACGCATAATAATGCATCTATCTCTTTAATAATTAATAACTAAAAATCTACGTAGTCATTTGCAAAATAAAAGACTTATTTGTGGTCAAATATACAAACACATGACGGTAGATATTGCTAGCACAACTCATCTACCGTATCGTGCGTGACTAATCTTTTTTAATTAGTAACTTAAAATTTATGAAATTGTTGCAAAATAGTAGAGGAATTTGATATTCAGTTTGATGATTTCTATCTGCACAGAACGAGTATGTCATTAATTAAAAGACACCCTTTAAAAGTGCCAGAGTTATATTAACAACACCTGTGCTTTTGCTAAGAACTAAATTACTGTATCGCCGAAACTTTCAAAAGATACTTACACCAAACGAATGTCTTCATGTTTCCGAAAATATCTTCGGTGTAGAAACAGTAGAATGTAGCCACGTGAAGGAAAGTTAATAGCACGATATTCATCCATTTGAGCTCGGTCTTAAAGCTAAACCATTCTTCAATTTTCGTGTAAATCTTGCGTCCACTCTGCTCGCCTTTTTTATTTTTTGCGCTCACTGAAGTGACTCGGGGATGATTTTTCTTTCGCAGATCTTTCTCGTCGAATATTTCGGTCTTCGTCTCCAAATTATTAGGTGCCATGTTCGTTCACCTTCTTCGTTGGAAAATCAAAAACATTAATTTCTATAATTTTATAGATTTTTAGTTATTAATTAGATAACATTAATATATTATTACGAGCAACTACCAGCTAATCTTCTTTAACACGTTAAACGCCAAGCCTATTTTGCTTAATGTTCCGTTCACGCTGCACTCTACTGCTAAGTAGAGGCTCTGCTAACAGAGCCGCGCGAGCTATAAACAAAAGATAAGAAAGTCTACGGCCGGTTCGTAGGCACCGACGTGATATTTAACATATTAATTAATAATTGAAAATCTAATAACAAATATAAAAAAATAATAGAGGATTTTTTTCAGTTGGACAAACCCACAATGGCAGACATCGCCACTACACTGTTAAATCCGTAGTGTCAAATTATACTCAATTTGAGTTATTTTTAACCATTCCTATAAGTCGCCACTGCTCCTACTAAATATGTCGTTAATTTAACTAATGTAATGGAGTTAAATAATTTAACTTAAGAAATGTATTAAATTTGACTAAAATTTAGTTTATTTTTTATTATGTGCACGTTAATGTACTTTGTTTTAGTAAAAAATGATTTAATATTGTTTTAAATGGGTCGATTAGATGTGATTGTTTTTTTAAACACATGTTTTGTGTTAAAATAGTAAATTTTAACACATATGATAATTAAAAATAACTAAATATTATTTAACTCAAGAAATTGGTTTAAATTTGACCCTCCAATATTTAATAGTGTACAGCTCATCTATTACATTTCACGTGATCATTCACAAATCTTTCTTAATTAATATCTTGATAATTATTGCGAATATTACAATATTCAAATGTTACAAATGGATATTTTTATGTTCACCTCAATCCGTACTATGCCTCCATAAAAGCTTCAAAGGATGTTCTGGGACATCCTGTATGTATGCATAAAAAGTGACTACAAGTTTTTACACACGCAAACGTCTAAAAATTATATACTTAGGTTTGTAGTAAATATAGCATAAACAAATGTACTTATCACGGTTTTTTACAAGCAATTTTTACATCAGCAAAACATACGAAACATACTTTTTGCTGTAGCTGAAGAGTAAGCACCGGCAGCTTGGAGATTTTTTGCCTTCTATTTTCTTCGTGATCGTTCAAAGAGAAAAGCAATGTACGAAATTACAGTCCTACCAACTACAGTCGAGATATAGCAATAACCGTAATTATCCATTGATTGACATTACCCCATTATCCTCTAATAGTTTCAAATTAAAAAGCAAAGCTGACCGTTTCAATTATTTACACATTTTTCTCAGAAAGATAGATAATCTGTGATGACACTGTGAGCACGAGATATTTTTTAACAAACCTATCTAGCTCAAAGAATATCGAAGATGATTTGGTTCGAGGATTACAGTCTGGTTCGGTTAACGAAGAACTTTCAGTGATTGTGTACTGGAGTTTTTTCGATATAAATGCAAAGCAACAATGCAATAAATATCATGTTGGCGAAGTTTGCATTGTCAGAAATGAAAAAAAGATTTGATCTTTTGCCCCAAATACAGGAAGTCTCGTCAATAATTGCATTGTGAAATCGCATTATGATGTATTTTATGTAAATTGACATTTATTCCTCGCGTGATATATAACATTCAATAGCGCAGTTTCTATTTTGATCGTAACAGGATTAGCGTCTTAAATAATTCTGTTTTAGAATTATCGAAACAGAATCTGAATTATTTCTTAAAGTAACTTGCAGATTAGGCGAAATTGTTCAATGTAAATTTAGTTTAGAGTAATGAGTAATAAGATAGAAATGTATGCAGTTTGCGCAAACATCCATCCAGTTATCTAGTATTAATTCATTCTCATTAGTTGTAAACATACTGAGTGCGAAGTAGACAAGAATTTAATAAAGTTCTATTTAATGTATATAATATATATTATTTACACATTTTTCACAGAAAACAAGATAATCTGTGACTGAAATGACTCGGGAGTGATTCTTCTTTCGTAGATCTTCCTCGTCGAGTATTTCGGTCTTCGAGTCCAAAATGGTAAGTGTCATGTTCACTCACTTTCTTCATGAGATCGGAAATCGAAGAAACTCAGTTTTATACAACCTGTATAACAAAACTATTAATTAATTTAATATGTCAATTTTTTAATTTATTTACAACAGCTTTCACGTCTCTTCGAGTCTTCAATTTAGAAGCTTCTAAGCCAATGAGTGTACATGCGAGGATCTTACTGTGTAATGTGTCGGTTAAAGATAAATATTTCTTCTATTATAATTCTTTCACAATAATTAACTATAGATAATCTCTGTTTTTTTTCTTGAAGAAATTATCCAGACAACATAATGTCTAAAATCGGGACATAAAACGTCTTAGAGATCATCTTTAGGATGTCTTTCAGACGATTTACGTATAAATGTCTTTAAGGCGCTAAATATTATCTTTAAGACGTCTTATGTCCCGAATTTAGACATTATATTGTCTGGGTAGTATGAACAATTGTATGTACAGGAAAGTCGCCGAGCTTATATGAGATTCTCTGTTTACAGATGTTCAGCTGTAAATAGGCGTATTGTGAAAGAATTATAATAGAAGAAACATTTATCCAATAAACATTTATCTTTAACCGACACATTACACAGTAAAGTCCTCGCATGTACACTCATTGGCTTAGAAGCTTCATCCTTCTAGATCGAAGAGACATGAAGACCGTTGTAAAAAAATTACAAAATTACAAAATTACATTAAATTAATTAGTCACAATTTTCCGTTTGCATTGGATACATCGATAACTCTACCAGTTCGATAGTCCGTGATAACTTAACAATCACAGAATATTATTAAAGACAGTACGAAATCACATATAAACCTGTTATATTTCCATTTTCTTATCAATTAATTAATGGCATAATGCGCCGCATACAAAAAGAGAATAAGGAAATATTATCATTATTTATATTATTAATTAGGATTACAATATTATTATTTACTTATTTATTTATTATCATATAGAATATATTGACATATTCTTAACACATACTACTTTTTTCCTATTTTCCTTCCTTTCATACCTAATTGTAATTTAAGTTTGATAGTAATTAAAATATTAAATTGAAGCCTAATAACAAATTAAGAATATTAAATATAGTAATATTAAAATAAAAGCCGGCGGAATTATTGATTATTTGATAAATTTTTGAATCTTTAATATTTACACAGGTATTTAATGAGCAATTAAATACCTAGTAAAGATTTGCGTTTTGGTTGTAACATTGAATTTTGATAAGAAGTTTAGTGAAAGTAACGTCACATTATTCGAAATGTTTTAATAAACTTTTACTGTCGCAATAATTAAAGCACAATCGCAAAAGGACAGGTTTCAAATCGGAAAACGAGGTTGATCGTCACAATTATTTATATATTTTCCTCGAAAAAACAGATATTCAGTGATACGTCCATTGACACAAAATATTATTGAACAAACGTTACTTAAATCAAGAAATATCAAAGATTTAGTCCTAGGATTACACGCGCTGGTTCGGCTATCGACGATCTTTCAGCAAACAACACTTCTCCTTAATTGGACATTGAAATTCACAATTTTTTAATATAAATATAAACTGGGACGCAATAAATATCACTGGAAAAAGTTAGTCTTCTAGCAATAGGAGAGGAAGAAAGATTTGATATTATACAGCTAAAACTTTTTAAAAATGCTAATTTCATCAATATTCAAGCATTTTAATTAATTTACTTACAACTCCACATCCTTGGTTTATATAATTTATATAGGAGTTTATATAGTTTGCGTAGAAATACATTCAGTTATTATCTACACGGAAAAAAAAAGATTTGGTTGAATTATCCAAATATCTGGTCGAATATGAACGATCCAGAAATTCCGATTGAAGTAATCCGAATTCTGTTTAAGTTAACAAGATTCTTGGTAGACTAATCAAACATGTTTGGTTAGTCTACTAAAAATCTTGTTAACTTAAACAGAATTCTAGTTATTTCAGTCGGAATTTCTGGATCGTTCATATTCGACCAGATATTTAATTCAACCAAATCTTTTTTTCCGTGTAATATTAATGCATTCTCCTTTGATGTAGAAATACTGCGTAGGAACAGGATTTAGTAATTGAAACAGTTTTCTGAGTAATGCGTGGACACTTCTTTTCTGTTATCAGATAATCTAATATCATTTTAGTATTTTATAATATGCACGTATCACAATGTTTATCGTAAAAACATGTGACACATTTTTTTTACATCATTAGAAAAGAACTTAAAATTACGAAAATCTAGTTTACTTAAGCAAAATAAAAAATTATGATGACATCAAAATGATGAAAAAATAATTAAATCGTAAAAAGTGAACTTTTGAGACAATTTCTCTAAACGTTCTTCATTATATTCAATTATATTCTCTCTCTTTCATTATATTCTTCAATATATTAATTATACTTTATTACAATTAGTACTTTACTACAATTATTGCGAGTAACTAATAAAATTTATTACGCAATCGAGATGGCTTTACGACACTCAACTTGCTGAATTTCTTCAACAACAGGAACCCTTGCACACCCAAAGCTGAACCGTCCTTTCACTCTTCGATCTTACTGTTGGGATACGCCACGGGATCCCACATGTGATGGCTGCCATCACCTCTCTTCGTCACGACGGACATCACGAGTTGTTGCGACGGTTGCTTCAAGTCGTACGCCCAGCCGATTTTCGCGAAGAAGTCGATAAACATCGTCGTGATGTTTAGCATGTAATTGCCCAATTCGTCCGCTTTATAATCCCACGGGAACACATGATGATAATTGTGCCAGCCCTCGCCGTACGTCAGAAAAGCAACCAGCTTATTATTCGCCGGATTAATGTGTCTGTTATTAAAATAGTTTGTATTAATACTTTGACTGCAATTCCCACTTAATGAAGATGCATCCCTGATGTGAAAGTAATATTCTTGTTTCAATGATTCTTTATAACATTATAATGATATGCAAAATAGGAACTGGGCCGATAAGAGCCGTGAACACAGAAAAAGAATTTTACTGACTCAGCTAATCATGGTCAGTTAAAAATATATTTATTGTAGTAATCAAAACTTTTACTACTATTTCTACTACATCGGTTATGTGACTAAATATATGCTTACTAACAATAGGATAAAGAACTTTTAGGATAAAAGGTAAAAGGTAAAAAAGAAGGAATAGGATAAGAAATATCTAGGATAAGAAGCGAAAAAGGAAAAGAAGTAGGTGTAGGAAAGAAATGTAAAATAAAGTTAAGTAAGATAAATAATTCTTGTGAAAAAAAAAGTTTTTTGCATTATTAAAACTGTCTCAAGGATTTTCAGACAATCAACGGAAAATAATTTTAGCCAATAAGCACTAAGCATAAATATTGATAGCGAATAATAATTCTTTATTAACATCTTCGCACAGAAAAAAGTTAGCTACGGTCATGTATGGCACTTAAAGAACTTCCTGGCATTGTAAGCTGAAGTAATAATAAAGAAAACAGATATGCTTACTATTAGAGCTATATTATTAGATACCAGTATGTTATACCATTATTATTACCAGAGCTATATTATTAGATACCAGTATGTTAAAACGAGATTTAAATGCCATACATGGCTAACTTTTTTCCGTGCGAAAATATTAATAAAGAATTATTATTCGCTATCAATATTCATGCTTAGTGCTTATTGGCTAAAATTACTTTTCGTTGATTGAATGTTTGAAAAACCTCGAAACAGTTCGTTCATGATGCAAAAAACTTTTTTTTCACAAGAATTATTTCAACACTTTAAATTCTCTTGTGCTTAATTCACCCTACGAAATCAACTGCCAAAAAATCATACGTCTTATACGTTCGTACTTAACATGTTAAGGGATCAGCTTTGAGTTCTGTATTCGCGAAACAAATACTCACGCGTCGTACGGTTTCGAGCCCCAGATATGAGCCAGACTATTGACGCTCCATGTGCAATTCAAGCCGATCACGTAGCGAAAGAACCATTGCATTTGAACTGACCTGATCCATGTCTCGTCCCATCCATAAACTGGTATCACTACCGGTAGTCCGAAGCAAAAAATGAATCTAAGTATCACGGAATATCTGGCAACCAAACATAGCAAATAAATAAATCGATAAAAATTAGTGGAGATTGCTAATCTTCGATCTTTTATTTTTTTTCTATTTTGAGTAATGCCAAATAACTCATAATTCAGAGACATTATTCGTACTTAAAAAGCTAGATGTTGACAATGAAAATACGACGTAATTAACAATTTAGACAGAGTGTCATTTTACATATTTTGCTTGTCAGAAACAAAACTATTTCCGAATGGCCATAAGCGGTCCCGTTACTTTACTCTTTTTACGAGAGATAGACTTACTTATCATCGAACACGACAACAGGATCCGTCAAAACATCGCTCATGTCAATCTCACGACCTCTTCGGATCACTTCTGAATGCTTTTTCATCATCAGCCAGCCGATGTGGGAGAAGAAGAATCCGCGATTGCTGTTGTGCGGATCCGCGTCCGTGTCCGTATATTTATGATGTACCCGATGATCTTGCACCCAATCCGAAATCTTGTTCTGTAAAAGATAAATATTATGGGAAAAGATTTTTCCTTATCTCTTTCTCTACTCCCCCCCCCCCC